CCCCAAAACCCCAAAACCCCAAAACCCCTGAGGATTTAAATGCTATTTAGTTTATTTAAGATTTAAGAAAGATTATAATTCTAAATATGTACAGACAAAGCAGAAATACTGACTAATGGTTTTCAAAGAATTAGAAACTAGCCTAGACCATAGATCCTAATTTGCTAACCTAGCTTGGTCCTGGCAAATATAACACTGATTCTTAATAAGCCCTTTCCAAAACTATTTCATTTAATTTTGGGAAGGTGCCATTTGGGTCTCAAGAAAACAGATTTAAAGGAGATATCTATTACAAACCTGGCCCAGGAGAGTATGAAAAAGACATACAAGTATACTCTAAACCTGATTTGTCAGTAATGACATCTAAGAATCATAAAGCTACATCCGAGGCTCAATAGGCAAAGACTTTTTATTCCCAAATGACTTCATCCTTCAAATCTAAAGAACCTAAAATATCCCTTTACTAAGACATAGAGAAAAAAGAAAATGAAAATCACATTTAAAAGAGCAAGAAAAAGAAGTATATTATGAAGTTTAATGATTAGGAAGTTGATGCTGATACTCTGAATCAAGATAGACTTGCCAATAAACAAGGAAATCTTAAAAAAGGATTCGCTTACAAAGAAAGTTTGGGATTACTATCTATAAATGACAGCAGTGAAAAGCTAATCAAATAAAAGTAAATGAGATCGACCACAAATGATATTAAAAGTTCAAGAATGCCTGAAATTAAGACAGGATGTATGGCCTTAGATATGGGTCCGGGATATTATGATATTAAAGATTAGGTGTTGCACAGAAATATACCTTAAATGACAATACCTTCCACAGGCAGAAATTAATTTAAGTCAGTTTAAAAATAGATGGAAAATTATCTGTCGACAATACTTTCTGGGAAGTAATCAACTGGTCTTTTCACTTCAACAAATAATACTGTATAATAGATGCTGATTGATGAAAGTAACAGAGAAAAGAACAGTATAGGAGAGAATAATGCAATTCAGTAGCACTCTATGTTCAAATCAAATACAAGTAGATTGAATTATGTTGACAGTAAGGATCTTCCAGGTCCAGGACAATATAATCCTAAGGATCCTTAATACATGAAAAAGAAGCAAAAAATTTAAAAGTTTGGAGCAATAGCAGCTAGAGAATCATTGATAGCTAGAAACATATAATTATCTCCATTTAGAGATCCTACATATATCGAAAATCCTCCTCCAAATAAGTATTACAGATCAAGGTCTACAGAAAATCCTAAGAATAGATAGAAAGGAGTTAAAAGTAATTTAAAATCTAATGCAAATGAAACTACTCAGGATAATCAACAAGTATCTAGTCTTCTAATAGAGCCCTAAAAATATGAGAAAAAGGATAGGGATATTCTAAATACTGTAAATAAGTAATTAGTAATTAATCCAGGGCCTGGTTAGTATGATACTGAAGTTCAAGAAAAACTTAAACTCCTTGATTATCAAATTTCAAATAGATATTAATAAAAGCCTTTTGGAAGTTCTAAGCCAAGATTTGAAGAAGTCTCTTATTCTGATATTAAGGATGATCCAAAACACTAAACAAGTGGAAAATTCTTTAGCCAATAAGATGAAGGATTCAAATAAAAAAAGTAGACCTTAAAAGAGACTATTGAAAAGATACAAGAACAAGAACAAAAAAGAAGTAATGCCATATTCAAATCTAAGACTAGTAGATTTGAAGAAGCAAAAATATATGAGCAACCACCATAAATGAATATCAATAACTGGGATTTTCCTCTTGAAGTCTAAGCTAAAATATTGGCATAATAGAAAGCTTTTAATGACTCAATAGAGGGCTAATTGACTTAAAATTTCTAAAATAATTCTTAAAATCTAATGAGAAAATATGATCCAAGAATCAAACCTGCATTCAACTCATAAAGCCCAAGATTCGCTGATGAAATGAAAAGGATTCTAACTGAGACTCCAGGTCCTGGATAATATGAAGGAACTATGGCTTAAGGCTATAAAACTCAGTTAAGCTAGAATTCTGTATTCAAAAGTATTCCAAGAGATGTTCAATCTTATATCCCATCTTAGACCGAAGAAGGTAAAAGACTTGGTCCTGGAGCATACATCTAAGAATAACCATTCCTAAAAAAGAGCTATAATGCAACTTTACCACCCCAAATCTTTCACTGATATGCCAATCAAGATATTATTACCTAATTCCATAATTTCATAATCATCCAAGTCTCTTTTAACTTTGAGGGGTTTTGGGGTTTTGGGGTTTTGGGG